CTCATCCATCTGTGCTCTCAGGAAGCCTCTGAGAGATCGGAAGGAACCCTTTGGTCTTCTGCCAAGTTCTGCCCTTCTAAATGAGAAGCTCTAGCAAATCCTACAAAGCAAATACATTGTTCTGTTACAGAATTTGTAGGCCGGGGGGGGGGGGGGCCAGGTAGGATGGTTCCCTGAGCAAGCATGGATGAGTCTTGCTGGGAACCAGGGCAGGATTGCACAGCATCCCAGACTGTGAGCTATCTTTTTGAAAGAAAGAGCAGGAAGAGGAGAAGAAATAAGTCTCTCGCCTTCCAGCAATGCAAAATGTGGAGGCAACTGAAGGGATTTCTGGGATGTTAATCAACCTGGTTTCTGCTGCCTTCCAGTCAATGCATGAAGTCAGAACCAACAGACAAGAGACTCGTTTGTATCTTGTGAAAAACGGATGCTTGGCTCTAGTGGGGGTCCACACCCGGGGGTCCTCAGGAGTTGCTCCCCCCTCACTCCCCTGCTTCTGTCTCCTTTTCTTGCACTTGGACTCTCTGCCGCTCTCCAGACAAACTCCTGGGGTGGGGTCCCTTTTTCTTTGCTCTGAGGGCCAGGTATGTATCTGGTAAACCCCCTGAGGGCCGTGGGCAGGGCCAAAGACATCTCCCTTGATATTTAGGTGGGTAATTTATTATTATTATTATTATTATTATTATTATTATTATTATTCTGCAAGATAGCTAACACACACACAGCCATTCATGCCAAGGTCCCAGGAGGCTCAGTGAGTAGCAGCGCCCATTTCCGGCTGCTTTGCCAGCAACAATCTCTTTGGGACAGAGAGGATGTGGTCCTGGGATGCCCTGCTCTGGGTGCGAGGGGATTGCTGCAGTGGCCTCCGTGGGGAGCTGCCCTGGGAGACGACTGGGGAAACTGGTCTGCAATGCAGCAGCCAGACTATGGGCTGGGATCCCTCTCTTTATCCCTGGGCTTTCTCTCCCACCTTAACTTCCTCCCTCCTCGTGGGTTTTTTTTTGGGGGGGGCGGGCTAGTCCACCTCCTCGTCCAGCTTTGGAAAACCACTTGCACATGTTTCCTCTGTTGTGCAATGAGGCTGAGCGATGTCACACAGAGTTAAAGTCCCAGGGACTCCTTTCTTTAAAGAAGGGAGATATATTCTGAAGGGGGGGGCGGAGGGCCAAATGATTTTGGGATCCTCTGATCTCCAGGAAGGAGAGCGTGGCAGACCTGGCCCCTCCCGGATCAGGCCCCCCAGGCATCCTCCCCTGCTGCAGCCCTGGGACCCCCCCCCCGTCTCCCCACTGCACCCTCTGGGGGGAGAGAGAGGAGACTCACCAGATCCCAGGAGGGGACAGCGAGGCAGCCCTTGCAGGAGAGACCCCAAAGCAAGGAAAGGACTGGGGAGGGAGGGGCCTTGGCTCTGGAGGACCTGGCCCCCTCTTGCTTCCTGGCCTCTCTAGGAAGGCAGCTCACTTCCCTTTAACCCTTGCCAAGCCGAGTCCCTCCAGCTCAGCCCTCTCTCGCTTGGCAGAACCTCAGATTTCTATTATTTTTTATGGATTTAGGGGGCAGCTGCCCCCCTGGCTACGCCAATGCCCAGATATCCTTTTGGGGGTGAGGCTCTTGGCTGGACTCTGAGCATCTCCCTCCCTTGGCGGAAGCCAGAGGAAGAGCTTGCAGGAAAAAGGGCTTTGCAGGAGGCAAGGAAGCTCCTCCTAGAATTCAGGAGTGGAGAGATAGGAGGGGATCCCAGGGTCATCTAGTCCAACCCCCAGCAAGGCAGGAATCTCAGCTAAAGCATCCATGGCAGATGGCCGTCCGATCTCTGCTCAGAAACCTCCAAGGAAGGAGAGTCCACCACCTCCCAAGGGAGACCTTTCCCCTGCCCAACTGCTCTTAGATGTCCCTCAAGGCAGCGGGTCCTGAGTTCTAGCCCTGCTGAAACAATCGCACTGGCTGCCAAGGAGGAACCCAGCGAGGTTCAAAAGAAATAAATCCTATTCTCATCATAAATGAGTAATACTTTCTTATGCATGCTTTTTATGCTAATATACAAAAGTATGCCATTTCCCTTTCCAGAAATGCTTAATTGCTAATTCAATGGACTGAAAATGGATTGTTGTTATTTTTATGTTTAGGGAAGCTTTTAATATTTGATGGACTATTGTATTATAATATTTTGTTGGAGGCCGCCCAGAGTGGCTGGGGAAACCCAGCCAGATGGGTGGGGTATAATATATTATTATTATTATTATTATTATTATTATTATTATTATTATTATTATTATTTAAATTGATCAGGTGAGTTTTCTCCTTTCGAAAGAGGCAGGTGGAATCTCCACGGTTGCTAATAGCATAAAATTGAAAGGCTAGTGAAATATGGGGAGCCCTAGAGCATCTGCTTGGCATGCAGAATGTCCCAGTCAGTGTAGACCAGGGGTCCTCAAACCATGTCCCGTGGGCCAAATCCAGCCTGCCAGGGTCGTGAATCTGGCCTGCACGGCCATTTCAGAACCTGCCAAGTGTCCGAGGCTGAAAGCATCTCGCCGCCCGCTCAGTCAGTCCTTGCGTCCCGCTGAGGTAAACGCCACAGGCGTGGTGGCGGCTCTACCAATGAAAGGCCAGGGATTTTCACCCGGGGACGGGGAAGTGTTGTCTTTTGGCTTGAAGAGCGAAGCTTGAGGTTGGTGGAGGAAGGCAGACTTGGATCAATTCGGTTTCTTTACGTTTACTTTGAAGGTGGGAGAAGGAAGTATAGTCCTATTTCGATGAGTAGCGCAGCGGTCTTTCCACTCCTGTGAATTTACATGCTCTGAAAGTTGGGATCTATTTTGATATTTAAATTTTAAAAGGGTGGAATGGAACTGGATATTGACCATCTCCTTAGCCTGGGGAGCCACGTTCTGGTTGGAGGAGGCCAGGATTTGCCCCCAAGGCCTGGGGTGTCCCTCCTCCCCTGCAGTAGGACTTGGAATCCAGGAGAAACCTCTTGGAATAGCCTTGCCAGGTGCTCAGGGATTCACCTGTCCCCATGTCCTGCAAACTGTGTTAAAATGTGACATCAAGCTTTATTTACAGCGGAAAATAACAAAGAAACATGGCGTGAGCTGTCTTCCACAGCCGTCTCCTCCTCGGTCAGAGTAAAAGAGAACAAAGGACGGAAGTGATTTACAGACTGACTTCCATTCTTACACACACAGTACAGAAGGTGTAAACCTGGATATCATGTTACACTAGCAATGGGAGAATGAAATACTGACAGTTTGGCCCCCAATTTGGTCCAAGACCAAAGCTGGCATCCCTCATGGTCCAGGAGTGCCAGGGACTCCGTGGTGGGGGCAGTGGGGGCCGCTTTGGCCCAGACTGGCCCCTGACTCCGAGACGCTCTTTGTGCCTGTGTTCCTAATAGATAACTAAGTGTGAAGAGCATGTCATGTGCTTCAGCAACAGCCCTCCTGGAAATAAGGAAATGCAACCCCCATTGCTGGTTGACTCAAAAAAGCAACAAGGGAATCTGCTCTGGTGTCCCATGAGGTCTGTGGGGCCCTTAAGTAAGAGGAGCCACTTTTCATAACTGAATTAAAGAAATTTTAACATAATCAAACATTCAAATTTCATTTTACAATTTCAATTAACACCCCCCCCCGCCATGTCGATTCCCCCAACTTCCCTTACTGGTTTATAACACCTCTGTTTCTTTTGCTTATAAATTTGTATTCCTTATATATTAAAATTAAGTGTTCTTTCGCTGGTATTTCATCGCCTTTCCATCTTTGAGCTAGTAAAATTCTGGCTGCTGCTGTCGCATACATGAATAGATTTTTCTTATGTTTTGGTAAATCCTGCCCTAAAAAACCTAATACAAACGCTTCTGGTCTTTTAACAAAGGCTATCTTAAACCTTTTTTTTCATTCTGAAGAAGTGTGGATGCACACGAAAGCTCATACCAAGAACTAACTTAGTTGGTCTTTAAGGTGCTACTAGAAGGAATTTTTTTATTTTGACTATGGCAGACCAACACGGCTACCTGTAACTTTTTTTTCATTTCATTATAGATCATCTCCCAATAGGTGGAGCCAGGTGGCCCAGGTCCGGGGTGGGTGGGGTTGCTATGGTGACAAGGACCACAGACTTGCAGGCGGCCATTTTGGGTTAGTAGTGGGGCGAGTGGAGGAGAGAGCAGTTGGTGGCAGTTGATAGAGGACAAGGCGAGGCAATCAGTGGATTCCTATTGTCTCAGTTTCTTATTTCGCTACTCATTGTTTTTCTCTTCTTGAAGATGTGCCACAGGCTTTCTTCATCCAGCAATGGTGAGTATTGGAGGAAACAAGAGTAGGGAGAGGATCCCTCAGACCTTCCTCCCGCTGCCAGGGCTCTTTGCCCCCCACTCTGCACTCTCAGCAGTGAGGAACTGAAGCCCTCCGCTGTCCCGGGGTTTTTTAAAATGCTGGGGGTGGGAAGAAAAGCCCTTGTCCCCCCCCCAGCCTTCAGAAGAGGTCGGGGGACAGACTGTCCCCGGACCTGGTCTGAAGTCGGTTTCCCTAGGAACGCATTAATTGATTTTCAGTGCATTCCTATGGGAAACCGTGCATCGCAAGACGAAAAACTCGCAAGAAGAAGAAACTTGCGGAACGAATTAATTTCGTCTTGCGAGGCACCACTGTATTTTGTTTTCTTCGTGACCTTTGTGAGTTTATTTTTTTATTTTTTAAGAGGGCAAATTGAAAGAGAAATTGTATGGCAAGTTGCAGAAGAATAAAAGGTTGTGTTTGAAAAAAAACACACCAAAAACTGGGGGGTGGCATGCTTAAATATTTTATTGGGGGTGGGGCAAAGACCCCTAGGCCCCTATTCCCTACACCCAGGTCTCAGGATGGTTACAACATAAAAAAACCAAGAAACAAAAAAACACACCACATATTAAAAGGCATTAGATGTCAATCAGCCAAAAGCCTGGTTAAAAAGGCGCGTCTGCCTGGTTCCTAAAGCTGTATAATGGTTTTTCTGACCATTGTATGGATTCTTTGATGGGAAGTAAGATTGGCCCTCTGACTGAAGCTCTTTCCACATTCCACGCACTGATAGGGTTTCTCCCCTGTATGAATTCTGTGATGGGAAGTGAGAGAGGAGCTACATGTGAAGCTCTTTCCACATTCCACACACTGATAGGGTTTCTCCCCTGTATGAATTCTTTGATGGGAAGTGAGAGAGGAGCTATTTCTGAAGCTCTTTCCACATTCCATGCACTGATAGGGTTTCTCCCCTGTATGAATTCTTTGATGGGAAGTAAGGGAGGAGCTCTTCCTGAAGTTTTTTCCACATTCCACGCACTGATAGGGTTTCTCCCCTGTATGAATTGTTTGATGGAAAGTGAGACTGTGGCTGTGAGTGAAGCTCTTCCCACATTCCACACACTTATAGGGTTTCTCCCCTGTATGAATTTGATGGGAAGTAGAGAGGAGCTCTGACTGAATCTCCTTCCACATTCCACACACTGATAGGGTTTCTCCCCTGTATGAATTGTTTGATGGAAAGTGAGGCTGTGGTTGTGACTAAAGCTCTTTCCACATTCCACACACTTATAGGGTTTCTCCCCTGTATGAATTCTTTGATGGGAAGTGAGAGAGGAGCTTTCAGTGAAGCTCTTTCCACATTTGACACACTGATAGGGTTTCTCCCCTGTATGAATTCTCTGATGCTTAGTGAGATTGGAACTCTTCCTGAAGTTCTTTCCACATTCCACGCACTGATATGGTTTCTCCCCTGTATGAATTCTTTGATGATAAGTGAGAGAGGTGCTATCAGTGAAGCTCTTTCCACATTCCACACACTGATAGGGTTTCTCCCCTGTATGAATTCTTTGATGATAAGTGAGAGAGGTGCTATCAGTGAAGCTCTTTCCACATTCCACACACTGATAGGGTTTCTCCCCTGTATGAATTCTTTGATGGGAAGTGAGATGGGAGTTCTGACTGAAGCTCTTTCCACATTCCACGCACTTATAGGGTTTCTCCCCTGTATGAATTCTTTGATGGGAAGTGAGAGAGGAACTACCTGTGAAGCTCTTTCCACATTCCACACACTGATAGGGTTTCTCCCCTGTATGAATTCTTTGATGTAAAGTGAATTCGGAGCACCCCCTGAAGCTCTTTCCGCATGCCACACACTGATAGGGTTTCTCCCCTGTATGAATTCTTCGATGGGTGATGAGAGAGGAGCTCTGACTGAAGGTCTTTCCACATTCCACACACTGATAGGGTTTCTCCCCTGTATGAATTCTTTGATGGGTGATGAGAGAGGAGCTCTGACTGAAGGTCTTTCCACATTCCACACACTGATAGGGTTTCTCCCCTGTATGAATTCTTAGATGAGACGTTAGAATGTCCTTCGTCCTGAAGCTCTTTCCACATTCCACACACTGATAGGGTTTCTCCCCTGTATGAATTCTTCGATGGGAAGTGAGATGGGAGCTCTGACTGAAGCTCTTTCCACATTCCATGCACTGATAGAGTTTCTTTCCAATGAGATTTTGTTGATGGGAAGTGGAATGGGAGCTCTGACTGCAGCTTTCTCCACACTCCAAATTTTTACGTGGCTTCTCCTCCCTCGGGATTTTATCGTGGTCACCTTTGCTCTCAATTTCCAATTCATCAGAATCTGCAATGGAGACAAAAAGGGATTAAGAGCCTCAGGAACAAATGGAGAACAAATGAAGGGAGTTGGGTGTGTGTTCATTACCTGTGTTGTTTGTCATTTTACCAACATATTTATTATTAGATTCTGAAGACTTGTTGTTTTGTCTGATATATAGTAGTGGTCAAAATTGTGGAAGGTTGAAGCTGACACTGAAGATGGCCTGGGAAGTTCACACCATCCCAATCGTAGTAAAGAAAGGAATATTTTGAAGAAGATTGTTCAAAGAAAAAACTGTAAGTTACTGTTTATTGTGGGGGTGTTATGTTCCCAGGTGTTATAGGGGGCGCTGTTGAACTCTGTGAAAATATATGAGGTTGGTCACATAGAGGTATTTTTTAAATCTCCAGGCAGATATGACGATCCCACAGGGAGCCTTACTAAGAGAGGCCACGATCCCACGATTCTCCTCCATGACGTCCTTATGCAGAGCTCTCTGGTCAGGATCCAGCAACGCCCACTCCTCATCCGTGAAACGAACAGCGATATCTTCAAAGCACACTGGACCCTAAAAAAAAAGGAAATGTCTTCCTCTGAGACAGCAGAAATATGATCTGCTACACAATGCTCTGTTGTTTCTTTCCTGTTTAATAATAATAATAATAATAATAATAATAATAATAATAATAATTTATTATTTATACCCCGCCCATCTTGTTGGGTTTCCCCAGCCACTCTGGGCGGCTTCCAACAAAACACTAAAATACAATAAGCTATTAAACATTAAAAGCTTCCCTAAACAGGGCTGCCTTTAGATGTCTTCTAAAAGTTTGGTAGTTATTTTTCTCTTTGACATCTGGTGAGAGGGCGTTCCACAGGGCGGGTGTCACTACCGAGAAGGCCCTGTACCTGGTTCCCTGTAACTTGGCTTCTCGCAGGGAGGGAACCGCCAGAAGGCCCTCAGCACTGGATCTCAGTGTCTGGGAAGAATGATGGAGGTGGAGACGCTCCTTCAAGTATACAGGACCGAGGCCGTTTAGGGCTTTCTTTCTTTTTTATAAGATATTTATTAAGATTTTTTAAAATATTACAGTAAAAATGAAAAAAATAACAAAAATACAAAATAAAAATAGTTAAAAATACACAGAATTTCCATTACTTATTTTCCTTTAGCTTGTTTCCCAGACCTCTTCATACCTCCCTTTTTTGTATTCCACTTCAAATTGTTGGTTCAGCAAATCCTTACCATTAGATTTTAACCTATTTATAACCCCTTTTTCATATTCTCTTAAAGCATTACAGCTGGAAACCACTTAATTTCTATCCAACATCATTCTAACATTCATTAATTTTACAATATTTCTGTAGATAGTCTTTAAATTTCTTCCAATCCTCTTCCACCGACTCTTCTCCCTGGTCTCGGATTCTGCCAGTCATTTCTGCCAATCCCATATAGTCCATCACCTTCGTCTGCCATTCTTCCGAAGTGGGTAAATCTTGTGTCTTCCAATACTTTGCAATGAGTATTCTTGCTGCTGTTGTGGCGTACATAAAAAAAGTTCTATCCTTCTTTGGCACCAATTGGCTGACAATGCCCAGAAGGAAGGCCTCTGGTTTCTTCAGGAAGGTATATTTAAATACCTTTTTCATTTCATTATAGATCATTTCCCAGAAAGCCTTAATCCTTGGGCATGTCCACCAAAGGTGAAAGAATGTACCTTCAGTTTCTTTACATTTCCAACATTTATTATCGGGCAAATGATAGATTTTTGCAAGCTTGACTGGGGTCATGTACCACCTATATATCATCTTCAAAATATTTTCTCTTAAGGCATTGCATGCCGTAAACTTGATACCTGTGGTCCATAACTGTTCCCAGTCAGCAAACATAATGTTATGTCCAACATCTAGTGCCCATTTAATCACAGCAGATTTCACCGTTTCATCCTGAGTATTCCATTTCAGCAGCAAGTTATACATCTTTGACAAAATCTTAGTTTTGGGTTCTAACAGTTCTGTTTCTAATTTTGATTTTCCCCCTGGAAGCCAATTTTCTTGTCCAAATTATATGCCTCCATTATCTGATAATTATTATCAGATAATCGAGGCCGTTTAGGGCTTTCAAGGTCAGCAGAAACACTTTGAATTGTGCTCAGAAACGTTCTGGGAGCCAGTGTAGGTCTTTCAAGACCGGTGTTTGTGGGAAAATGATTGCTTGTACATGAGAGCATGAGCAAAGTTCTTATTGTTGCAGAGTGATTTCATAGCTAAAAGCATCCTTGGAGCATGAACAGCGCGTGAATAGCTCGTGCTGTCCCAAATGATTGGTCAACTAGCATAGCCTGATCGCTTGCGTGGGTCTAGTGCGATGGCCCTTATCTGCTGGCTGAGAACAAATTGCTTTGCTTGTATTTTGTATCTTTCTGACTTCACACAATAAAGGCTGTGCTGCAGTAGCTCTAAGGCGGCCAGAGCAGCCAAGGAGCCAGAGCAGCCATATTTCTTCAACCCATCTTGGTGTGAGACTGATTTCTTCGGATGTCGAGCTGGCACTCGACAATTGGTGCCCCGTGTGACTACCTTCGGACTCCGCGTTGTTTCTCATCGTTCAGCGCTCACCACGCATCTTTCATCCACTATGGATCCCGGTGAGTGCTCCCTTGGTGCCCTCGTGTGATTTAATTTCGGACTTCATGCTGTTTTACAACGTTCAGCCTCACCTCGCCTGGCAAGGGCTGCAGACGCGTCGTTCATCCACCTAGTGGATCCCTGGTGAGTGCTCCCTTTCTTTTGCCATGTGATTCTGGACTACGTTATGGACTTATCAGCACCTACCTCGCCCGGAAAGGGTTAAAGGCGCCTACTCATCCTTTGGATCCCTCGGTAAGTGCTCCCTGCTCTTTTTGCTACTCTTGCAATCATGGGGACGTCTCTAACAGCACCACAGAAAAAGTTTTATGAAGACCTTACATCTCTTTTGGCCAGCAACAGCCTTCTCGTCTCAGATGCTGACCTTCAGTCTCAACAGCAAAGTTTGCCTCCAGCCAATCTCCTTTTGGCTGCTGCATCTGTTTCTTTGCCTGCCGACTTTCCATTGCTATATCCAGCATTGCCTTCTTCTGCTGTATATGCCCCACCAAAGGCTCCTGTCTTCCCTCCCCTGCATTCTTCGCATTCAGACCCCCCGCTCTTCCACCTCCTCCGCCCAAGGCACCTGGCACCGCTTCTACCATTCCTCTCCAAGAAGAGACTCTTTGTACCACTGCTCCGTTGCTGCCTTTTGATTCTGATACTCCAAATCTATTTCCTGTGATTGCTCCTGCACCCCCAGCCCCCGTCATGCTGACCCAAACTGATGTTCTCGATGGGCTGACGGGAGGAAGCAATTTTCTTCCTATTGCCCAACGGCCCTTGATCCTATGTACTGGGCAGCCACCACAGCCTCAGCCCAAGAGGCTCTGGCCTCTGTCCCTGATAACAGGAATGAACGCGATGGCCAACTGGGCAGCATCAGACAGGGCCCTGCAAAGCCCTATGGACAATTTGTTGATCGCTTGTATAATACCTTCAAGCGGCAAGTTCAGGACCTGGCAGCACAAGAACTGATTGTACGCCAGCTTGCGTTTGATCATGCACATGAGGACTGTAAGCAAGCGCTGCGCCCTTTGATGACAACATCAAATATAGCCATTGCTGATATGCTTAAAGCCTGCCAGTCAGTGGGCACTGCTAGCCACGGCCTGCTAGCCACGGCCTTGTCCTCCGCCGTGTCCCAAAATCCTGCTAAGGATAAAACCTGTTGGATTGACAGTGGCTAAGGAGAAAATCCAGCGGACTTTACCCATTACGTACCTGGGACACAAGCTGACAGCATCTGCAGCCATTCCAGTTACGCCTCAACTACAGTTTCCTGATTTTAAACTGGTGGATTTACAACAAATTCTTGGACAGCTAAATTGGATAAAGAGTTATTTGGACCTGCCCACCTCCACTTTGTCTCCACTATTTTCTGCCCTTAAAGGACATAAGGATCCAGCAGACAAGATCACAGTCACCTCTGCAATGGAAGAGGCTCTAACCACTGTGAACAACCATCTCTGCAGATGTATGGTGGACAGGATTCCTTCTCTTTCCATGGCACAATTATCACTTGCAGTATTTGCCAGCCCGCTCCTTCCAACAGCTATATTGTACACCACAGGCCAGAAGCCTGGGACTGTGTCTATTGTGGAGTGGCTTCACCTGCCTCATCTCCGCGGAACGTGTATGCTACACCCAACAGCGTCATGGACCTTGTTGCTAAGGGCCGACATCGAGCCCTTGCCCTCTCTGGAATGGACTTACAGTCAGTGTACCTGCCCTTCTCCCAGGAAGAATTTCAGCATCTGATGATGACAGCCGTTTCTACTCAAATAGCTTTTGCTGATTTCTTGGGAAATATCATTCACAATCCTCCTAGAGACCCTCGTTTGTCTTTCCTTACAGGGCTACGTTATGTCTTGCGAACTGCTTTGTCCCTCCTACCCTTACCCTCCGCCCTTACTGTGTTCACTGATGGTACCAAATCCAGAGGGGTGGTGGTGTGGGAAGAGGAGGGGAATGGAAAAGTTTGTATACTACTGAGCAGTCCTCAGCACAACGTGCTGAATTGGCAGCTGTAATTTTGGCATTTCAACAGTTTGTTAATATCCCTTTCAATCTCATTGTGGATTCTCAGTATGTATATAATCTTTTGAATGTCTTACCATTGTCTTATATCACTCCTGCTATTGATCAAAATTTGTTTACATTGTTTTCCACTTTGCAGAACATGGTACAAGCTAGAACTTGTCAGTTTTATGTAGCCCATCTCAGATCTCACACTGGCCACCCTGGGTATTTGGCAGAAGCTAATGCCCAGGCAGACCATGCTTTGAAGAATGGTATTTTTTCATTGCTTTCAGACCCATTTGAAAGTCATTCTGTATT